TCATTAACACTTCCGCCCGTTTTTTTTCCGTTCTTCTTCTTCTTCTTTCTTTTCGTCCTTATTTGATGTTTCGTTTTCTTAAACTTCTCCTCCTCCTCCTCCTCCTCCTCCTCCTTTCAATCTTACAATTCCTATTTTTTCTTGTCCTCTTCCCTTCTCTTTCTCTTTCCTTCTCTTCCGTTTTCCCTATTCCTCTTCCTTCCTATCCTCTTCCTTCCCACTCCTCTGCCTCTTCATCTTCCTCGTCTTCTTTCCTTCTTTTCCTGTTACTCCTTCTTCCAATTCAAACTGCTCCTTAGGATATCATCTCATAACTAATAACAGATCTAGGGGTAGTCGTTTTAAAATACCACCAAGAAGTAATATTCAGTGTCTAGTCAGGGCGTTCAACTCTGGCCACAATTACCAGTAAACATTGTACTTACCACCTTTACATAGGGCATATCCATGCTCAACAGCATGCTCTATGCGCCTTATAACTATCGTAACTATCCCCCCAGTCTGCCCTAGAACGCTGAGGCAACAGTCTCGGCTTCTAACTCACCTGCAGCCACTTAGCTTCCTGTATGAGCTCCAGGATCTGGGAGTCAAAGTTCACAAAGAGTTCCTCCGTCTCTGGGTGTCTCACCAACAGGGAGGCGTGCAGTCCAGATTTGGCGGCCTCCACAGCTCTATACCAACCACGGTGGTACAACATCTGAACATAATAAATTAGGTTGAATAATGTGGAGTTTTCTATCAAAATACACTCTTGTTCATGTGTTCAAAGACTTCCAAAACTTGTTTTACAAAGTCAGCTTATCATTGATTGAAGGGGTAAAAGACACTTTAAAATCTTGCAATTTCCAGTTTGCAAAGACCCAACGTCTGTAAGTTTATATAAAAACAGTCAGCCAAGGAAGCTATTGTGAAGTCGTGTGAGCTTCCAGAGGAATACACAATTGAAATAAGCACTTTACCATTCACATGTTATCTTTTCCCATCATGTATTTTCGAAGGACGAAAAAAGATTGCTTCCGTTTTGTCTCAATAATTGTGAGAACTCATACCAACCAATTAAGAAACATTGTTTGATTTTACAGAATACTTACCTCATATTCCAAAAGGACTCCCGCCATTTTGTTGAAGTTCCTGATCGTCTTCTTGGACTCAGGGTGCTGAAAACAAAGATTGAGACAAAACCCATTGAGTTTTTTTCAAAGATATAATCCTGTTTCAGGTGAAATGTTCAACACAACCGAACAAAGCAACGAAGACTAATATTTCCAAATCCATGTAATTATGTTTCGCAAGGAGAGTGTATTCATTTATTTCTCTGAATAAAGGTTGAAAGGGGGAGGGGGGGGGGCGATCTATAAGATTCTTGTATATCCTTCATTCCTTTAGAACAAAATTTAACTCTTACCATACGAGTTGTTGTTGTTGTGATTTGTTGTTGTTGTTTTTCAACACAGTATGGTTGTATAAGAGGCACAATCTCGCAATGTAACACCCATATCCGATAGGTCCTAACACAATGAGTGGAAAGCCTCAAAATCTCCCCAAAACAACCTTAGTTCAAGAACACCCGGTTGTGGAATCGAACCAGGGCCATCCGCTCTGTGGTACATCATTACACAGACTGAGCTAACAAGACGGAATAAGATCTATTTCCAACCTTTCAACCATATATGACAAGGACAACCCCTATTTTCGCTGCAAAAGTCTTTTGCTCTTTCTCATTGAGACGTACATCACAGTCATAATGCACAATAATCATGTGCTGTTCAATCGTGGCTAAAAAAGTATGTTACCCTGTTATAAAGTATAAAAATGTAAATCTGGACAGAATTTTAAGAGAAACATATACAGGTTTTCTTTAAATAATGAAAGGCAAACACATAAAAAAACAATCAACTCTACACTTCTGGTAAGGGAAAACATCAGTTGGTTTTTTTATATTGGACACTGATACGGTCACAAGCCATATTTAGCAAGTACATAAAATGTTATCCCAATGACGCTCTATATGTCAATTTTTACGTGACGTCGAAAGCTACTTTCCAAAACCTGTATCAGTTGTAATGAAATGGTTAGGCACTCCGCCATAGCACGCAGAAGACGAAAGTTCAATTACCCTGTGAGAGAGTTTTATTATCGATATTTCCACCTGACAGGCAAACCCAAGCAGTCTGCCACCTAAATGATCTAAACCGTGTTGATTAGGGTGTGAAACACCCAAAATTACATTTTTATTATTGTCAAAATCGCTGCTCTTACCTTCAGAATACCAGGCTTGTTCTTGAAGATTTTCATGGGCGTCTCTATCTTCCTGTACAGCTGCCTGGCCCAGGCGATCTTTCCCGCGATGGGCGGCAGGTTGCGCGGGATCTGGGGGTCGTTCTTGTGCTTCTGGTAGATCTTCCGGATGGACTCCAGGTCGCGGCCGTAGACCGTCATGACGCGCATGTACTTGTCTGTCAGGTCCAGCTGGGCGGCGCTGATAGCCTCAAACTTGTCCAGCAGCTCCAGGGCTTTCTCAGTCTGTGGTGAGAAGAAATGAATATTTTGTTTTGTCACGTCTACTGCAGTCGAACTTGCTTTAACGTCCACCTGTATAGAACAATCACCTGTACAACGTCCACTTCCCAGTCCCTCCCTCGCATAGCGGTACATCATAATGACATTGTGTAAGACAGTCATCTGTCTAAGACGGCCACTTTTCTCCTCGTCAATGGGAGGCCGTCTTTGGTATTCCTTCATTTTCATTGTTGTTTTGTCTTGTCTTCTATTTTGGGGAGGGGGGGGGGATTTTGTTTTATTTATATTTTTAAAATATAGAAAGGCTGGATGTTTCAGCATGTAGCTATAGGCGTACACAAACAGGAAAAAAACTTTATTGGACAATACACGCTTTAAACTCTATTGCACTATCAGCTTCAGAGAGCTCAACATAGACAGTTAGTTTATGATGATGATGATGATGATGATAATACATATTTTCTGGAAATACAACAAGGTCTTAACTGTTTTAATACCTTCTTTATACAATGATGATGATGATGATGATGATGATGATGATGATGATGATGATGATGATGATATTGATGATGATGATGACGACGATGATGATGGTGGTGGTGGTGGTTACTATATCATCAAAATTTGGCCCTTAGTATAATTTATAACAACTCTGCTCACAACATTAGGCATCACCTAAATGTCAAAACTTACGCTGAGAGATCGCGAGAACCAAGAGTCCATGAATGACTGGATGGAGTTTCTCAAGTTTTCTACTTGGCTCTTGAACTCGACGTAGTCGCTGTCAAACTGGAGAGACAAAGAACATGGATTACTGGACACAGATCTCAAATTGCGAAGTGCGTGTAATAAATATAGAATTGTTAATATTATACGACTCCATCGAAGCAATTAAGTGGGTGGCTCGCGGGTGCTCTGATGTGGTTTGGTTTGCTCCTTCTTTCCTACCAAACCTACCAAACGTCTATCGTCCTTATCTCTCCTCCTTTTTTATGTTTATAACTCTTTTGAAACACTTCCAATCTTCAGCACTTATATGTCCTTATCGTGTTGAAAGTGCCGTAAAACTCTTACTAAGAGTAAACAGAAGTAATTAAGATAGACTGGAAAGTGGGCTACTTGGACCCTGTCAGTTACGCCCAGCCTGGGTGAAATGAGATATAGTATATCCCAGCAAACAGACGGAGATTCTGTATAAAATAGCGTCTTCAGTCAAGAACAGAGCACGTGCCTTCTGCGTGCTACAGTAAGGAGTCTAACCATTACACCAGAGACGCTGGTCTTCAAGATTTTAAAGAAAACTCTATTAGTTTAGAGTTAAATCGGACGACCTTGCGTCAGCTTCAAAAGTTTATTTTAAAAAAGGCATCTGGCCAAAAGGGGTTCCTAGACATAGGTCGACACAATTTATAGCATTCAAAAGAGGCTCTGGCCCACGCGTTCAGTGTGGTTGACAAATCAAGGGACAACAGAGAATTAAGGAAAAGTGTGCGTTGTCTTTCTGGAAAATCAATCAGAAGCATGAAACCTTGGCTGCATGTGGCAGTGACTCTTTGCGACTTCACAT